TCATCATCGTGTCCTTTATTCAAAGCTTTATTGTGAAGGGATTTTCAAAATAAAAGCTGAAATAACCAGCAGCATTCAAAGGTTTAACATGAAGACATTTTCAAAATAAAGGCTGAATCAACCAGCAGCAGCAGCATTCAAAGCTTAAATATGAAGGGATTTTCAAAATAAAAGCTGAAAAAACGACCAGCAGCATTTAAATCATCATCGTATCGTTTATTCAAAGCTTAAATATGCAGGGATTTTCAAAATAAAAGCTGAAAGCACTCGCTGGAGCAGTAACTATAAATCTCGTTGTATTCTGTACAATGACAATAAAAGCTTTTTGAATTTGAAATAACCAGCATTGTCTCGTTTATTCAAAGCTTTAACATGAAGACATTTTCAAAATAAAAGCTGAAACAACCAGCAACAGCAGCATTCAAAGCTTAAATATGAAGGGATTTTCAAAATAAAAGCTGAAACAATGACCAGCAGCATTTAAATCATCATCGTGTCCTTTATTCAAAGCTTTAATATGAAGAGATTTTCAAAATAAAAGCACAACACAGGAGCGAAAACAAGGCAATAATACGAATTAAGTTAAAGTCCAGCTGAAATGACAAAACCCTGACATGACTCAGCAATTTATCACTTCCTGTCCATCATCTTAGGCTAATGCATTCCCATTAGTTTACTGGTTATTAGCAAATGGTAGCATGCTAACACATTACCTGCTGAGCATCTTCACTGCTGTCAAGAGGGTTTAACTTTAGCAGAAAAGAAACATGCATTTTAATTTCAGTTGGACTTTAAAACAATAATATTTGACGCTAATATTGCTAAGTAGCTAATACTGTACGAAAGCTACAACACCAGTTACACATGTTTACAGAACTGGATGCTTCACTCGAGAAAGATAAAAGAAGTGCAATTACAACACACACACACACACACACACACACACACACACACACACACACACACACACACACACACTCACACACTCACTCACACACACACACACACACACACACACACACACACACACACACACACACACACACACACACACACACACACACACACACGCGTCTTCATCAGGGATTCTTCTCTCATCGTCGGGTACCTGCAGGGTTCAGATTAATTCTCTATTGCTTTTGTAGGGAACACGATGAAAAGGGTTATGAAGCTCAATGTCTCATTACATATTAAATAAATCACTGATTGTGCAGTAAACTGTATATTAAGTAAAAAGTACTTAACTTACTTACTTAAGTAAGGTTTGGTATTATATCTGATGTTTCTGGGTTAACATCACTGCTGTATTATGTTGCTGTAGAAGCTAATAATAATACTTTTTTTTTAAGGCGCCTTTCAAGACACCCAAGGACACCGAATATATGTTTATTTACTATTTTTTTTTGTGTACTTTCCCCTTATTTTTTCACATGTTTTGGTAATTTTCAGACATTTTCAACATATTTTACACTGGAAAAAATGCTGCTCCAAAAACAAGCTGTTTTCACTTGAAATAAGTACACAGCTCTGCCAATAGAACAAGTGACATTTGGCTTGGTAAGATTGATATATTTCTAAGGGATATTTAGATAAATCAGATCTTGTGGGAGAACTCATTATTTTGAACTATATTTGACCAGAATCAGGAAATGTTGTGTTACAATATGAGCCACTCAAAATTGTTCTGTTTTCTGATGTTAGTTGGTGATTTTCTTCTGAGATACAACTCAAAATAAGATGTTTTGACTTAAAGGTGGGGTATGTAAGTTTGGAGAAACCGGCTTGAGTGTGCGCTAGAATTTGAAAATACACAGCCGGAGAAAATCTGCCACTTCCTTACCGAGCCCCTCCTCCAACACACGAACGTGCACATGACCAATGAGGGCACGAGATAAGTTTGTGCACAGATGGAAGGCTGACAGGCAGGTAGGCCATCCAGTTATTTTAGCCGGGCCGGCTCAGATGATTGGTCGTGCTTTTTACAGTATTACAGCTTCCACAGATGACATTTTTTTATGGATTTTTTGTCAAAGCACTTCAGATATTCATTGCTATCGGGATGTTAAGAGCATTCCATGGAATATAACAAAAAGTGTATCTCGAGCCGGTTTCTCAAACTTACCTACCCCACCTTTAACAAGATGAAGCATTGTCTAAAAACAAGAGCCTGTATCTCACTGCAGTGTTACTTCTGAAGTTATTGTGTCTTATATCAGGAGTAGAGACATATTCTGACTAGATGTTAGACACATATACTGGGCAAGATTTCGAGTTTTTGTTGTGTAGACCTGCAACAATGCATCATATTCTATGTTAGAAAAAAGCCCAGTTTCTCAGAAAAACTGCCTGTTTTCAGTTTTGTGACGATGCTTTTTTGCAAGAGGCTTTTTAAAGACTTTATTTAACGTCACGAGGAGAAACATTCAAAATAATCTGAAATCTAACAAAAGCTTCATGTTGTACATTTACCCTGCTTTATTTGCAAATAATAATAATAATGATTATTATTTTAATTATCATCGTTTATATAAAAATAAGATGAGAAATGAAACTCTCCTTACATCTGAACATGGACTTGTAGGAATTATTTTATTTACTTTTTTCTTTTCTTTTCTCCCTGGAAATGGGTGTACATACAGTATATGTGTACATATGTATATGTGTACATATGTATATGTGTGTGTATAGAGAATTTTGTTTATCTGTGTGCGTATTTAATTCCATATTTATCTTTATTAACGTATCCTGCAACTGGATGTATAAACTATGCTTTCTGCCCTCCTGCTAGGGCTGTGCAATTAATCATATTTTAATCTCGATTACGATTTTGGCTTGCAACGATTACGAAAACAACGTAATCGAAATAAAACGATTATTATTCTTATAAAAAAAAAAAAATGTAATTATTATTATTTTTAATTCTTTTTTTTAATTGGTTTTTCAGTTGAATTACACTTAAAGTTCAGGGTAATCAACTGTTAAAAACATACTGTTCACATATTATTTTTCAATAAATGGATGTTTTCAAAGTAAATGGATAATTGTTTTTAATAATCGTGATATCAATTATTGACCAAAATAATCGTGATTAGGATTTTTGCCATAATCGCACAGCCCTACCTCCTGCTTCCACTCATTTTGTTTTTATTGTCGGATTTGCCTATTGAAATAGTAGAATACATAATATATATATATCAAGTACCTCAAAGTTGTACTCAAGTCAAAGTACTTTGCACTGCCTCCCTGCACCATGCTTACTTTAGCCGACTGAATATAAACACATGTAAGGATGAAAGTAAACGGCTTCACATGTAACGCATCCATCTTTCCTGCAGCCTCTGCAGATTCTCCTGCTCTACTTTCCTCCCCACAAAGCCTCGGGCTGTTTCCCCTTAATGAGAAACTCCCAGAGAAAGGTGCAGCATCGCGGAGACGTGGGATTTAAAACATCTATCCGTCTTAATGCACACTTCCCACGTTTCAGCTTTACATGGAGGAAGAAACCGAGAGGAGGATGCTCACTTTGTCCCTGCTCTGCTGTTCCTTGAGTGCCCGTTTTATCTGAGATAAAGGACACTTAGTGATATTTGTTCTCTGCCAGTAAGACCCGTAGGCGACCGTCCTCTTTATCCCCACACACACACACACACACACACACACACACACACACACACACACACACACACACACACACACACACACACACACACACGACTGAACACAGGCCCTGTATCCTCTCGACTTCCGCATGAAAACATAATCAAATCATCGTTCTTCAGAGTCATTGAATATTCAATTACAGCAGTATTCTTAAATAACATTAAAGATAATTGATTCGGCCACTTGACTGCGGCTTTCAGAAACTTCCCCTCGTTGTTCCTTCAGACGAGAAGGAGAGACAATTTCCTCCTTAATGTACAAGTGTTTATGTCTGTTATGAACAAGGTCTGCAGAAGTAAATAAATCCTTCGGTACGAAACCTAATTCCCGGCACAGTTTACGTTTAAGGCCGCCTTCCTGGAGTCGTGGTTGAATGTGGTTTTAACGACCGGGTTGAAAAAAGAAAATGTCCCAAAAATATGTGGAAAATATCTGAGAAGTTGACAAAAGATATGTTAAAAAGTTCCAAAGAATACATGGAAAGAGTAGGGTGTCTTTGTGATATTTAGTATGAGGATCTTAATTGAACCAGAGTATACATGAGGTACAATCAGTGCAACCTATAAATGCTTTTCATTTGAATGAAGTTTGAAAAACACAGGAGAACATTTAACATAAATATGTGCAAAATATCTGAGAAATTGACAAAAAATGTGTGGAAGAAATGTGTGGAAGAAATGTTAAAAAGTTCCGGTAAACCATAGGAAGAAACAAACTTGAGATGATCCGTACCTTTACCACATTTGCTTAAAGAGTTTATATTCTCCTGTAGTCTGTTCTATAGGTTTTAGTGCATGTAAATGGTCTTGAAGGCCTTCCTGAAGTTGTGGTTGAATATGGTGACATTTGGGAATGAGAGTCTGAAAAACACACAAGAAAAGGTCCCAAAAAAGTATGGAAAAAATGTGAGAAATTGACAAAAATATTTGAAAAAGATTTGGGAAAATTATGTTAAATAGTTTCGAAGGCATAAATGAAGATATTAGGAAAAAACAAACTTGAGATGATGAGTACCTTTACCACTTTCGCTTAAAGAGGCCCTAAACTAAATATTCAAAAAAGATTGTAATGAAATCTGGAAAACACAGAAGACATTTTCCCAAAGACTTGTGGAAAATATCTGAGAAATTGACAGAAAAATATGCGGAAAATATATGTAAAAATATTCCAAAGGACAAAATGAAAACAGTATGAAAAAACTAACTTGAGATGATCCGTACCACATTTGCTTAAAGAGTTTCTGTTCTCCTGTAGTGTGTTCTATAGGTTTCAGTGCATGTAAATGGTCTGCAAGTGTTTATATCAATAGTGTTTATAGTCAATAAATCCTAATTTCCAGTCTAGAAGAACGTGCCCTTGGTGTCCCTGCACAGTATCCTCTTGAAGGCCTTCCTGAAGTCGTGGTTGAAGATGGTGTAAATGACCGGGTTGAGGCAGGAGTTGCAGTATCCGATCCAGAAGAAGAATTTAAACAAAGGGTATGGGATGCTGCAGGTCTCCGGGCACACCGCCTTCAAAGAGTAAGAGAAGAAGAAGGGGAACCAGCAGATAACGAAGCCTCCCATCACCACCGCCAACACGAAAGTGAAGCGTTTTTCCCGGTTCGCCATGGCTTTGCGGCGAGAAGTCGGCGTCCCTTGGATCTTTTCCTCGGGTACAACTTTGGTGCCAGAAGAAGAAGAAGTGGCCATTGTTTCTTTGTACCTACAGGACAAGTTTAGCATCTTGACTTTGAACCCTTTCTTTCGGGACGACCCTAAAGTTTCCGATTTGTCCGTTTCGTCTTTGCCTTCATCGGCCATTTCAGAACCAGAGTTGGACGAGTTCTCGAACGCTGCTTCTTCTTCCTCTTGATGTTTCTGGGACTCTTTCTGGGGAACAGCTGAAGGGATTTGGGGGATTTTGGCGATTGAAGTGTCTTGGATTGGTGTATTCTCTGGAGGGTTTCGAAAAGACGACTGGTTTGAATCAGACCCAGAGATTTTAGCTTGGACTTTTTCCCGTTGGCTGCCTCCTTGATCCCCGTTCTGCTCGGATATATTCGCCGGACTCTCATTGGCATTTTCTCCCGTTGTCGCCTTTTGCTTCTGTCCTGCCGAATTTCGAGTATGCTGCTTTGCAATCTGATAAATCCGCACGTAAACCAGGATCATAATCACACAGGGGGCGAAGAATGACCCGATAGTGGAGTAGAGAATATACCATCGCTCGTTGTTCAGCTCGCAGACTTCTTCACCTCCTTTGCTCTTGTCCAGAGAGAGAAGAGGTGGGAAAGAGATGACCGCAGAGATCAGCCAGACTATAATAATGGCCGCTTTGATTCGCGTCGGGGTTCTTTTGGCGCCGTACGTCACAGGGCGAGATATCGACAGGTAGCGGTCCAGTGCTATCGCGCACAGGTGAACAATGGAGGACGTGCAGAAGAGGACGTCCAGCGCCAGGTAGATTTCACACCTGCAACAGAAAAGCATTTTACTCACTCTGATAATATAGACAGGGCTCTCTGTATGACTGACTGAACTTTCTTGAAAGAAATACAATGAAATACGATAAAACAACAGTTTTTTCCCGATTTTTTGTCAATTGAAAGTCTTCATTCCCATATTTGAGAATATATATCTAAAAATTCTTGCATTTTTAAAGCATTTTTTAGGTTGTTCCAATAGTGCCTCATTTACATATTGGCTATAGTATAATTTATATAAGATATCACATTGAGAACAATTATTTTGTGTAATTTTAGCCTTTGCAGACCATTTACATGCACCAATACCTATATCAATTTCTCAGAGTTCATTCATTTGAGAATATATTTCAAGAATTCTTGCATTTTCAAAGCATTTCACCTCCTTTATATATTGGCTATATTGTAAGAGGTAATTTTGTGATTTTTAGCCTTTGCAGACCATTTACATGCACCAAAACCTATAGAACACACTACAGGAAAGTCAAAGCATTTTTGAGCATTTTGGTTGGATTTCTATTGTACCTCCTTTATATATTGGCTATAGTTCAATTTAAATAAGATATTACATAGAGAAACTACCTCTGGAGAGAATGTTGTGTCATTTTAGCCTTTGCAGACCATTTACATGCACACAAACACACTACAGGAAAGGCAAAGCATCTTGGTTTGCTGTTTTATCCATTTTGATTAAATAAAAATGCCTCCACACACCACACGGAGCTGAACGCCCAGTAGCCCTGCAGCTCGTTGGCTAACGAGAACGGGATGATGAGCGTCGCGACCAGAATATCTGCCGCCGCCAGCGACACCAGGAAGAGGTTCTGAGGACCTCTGAGCGAACGAGACGTCAGGACGGCGATGATGACGAGGATATTCCCCACGATGGTGAGGAGCATCATGGAGGTGATGGCGATGGCGAAGGCAGCGGTCGCCTGCGGGCTGTAGGGCGAAGAAGAAGAAGAAGAAGAAGAAGAAGATCTGCCTGTACTCCGGTTACACGGACGGGTACCAGAGATGAGACTAAAGTTCCTGTTGGGGAATCCGGAAAGCTCCGAGAGGCAGGGGGCGTCTGGAGATAATGCCATGCTGGTGACGGGGGTATTATATCCAGTCTGTTTGGAAAACCATGGAGAAAACAGGGGATTCCCAGTAAGAGGAGGAACTGCCCGTCAAGGGGGAGCCATGAGATCTACAAGAGAGAACATTTGATTAAGAATCAGAATCCAGTTTATTGCCATTACACACACAAGGTATTTGCTTTGGTGTATTTTAGATTAGATTCAACTTTATTGTCGTTCTTTACAATGTTGAGTACAACGAAAAAAGCAGTTTGCATCCAATCAGAAAGTGTAAAGACAAACCAAGTATGAATAGATGTATTTTGATAAGGTGCAGATTCAGAGCATATACATAAGGTGCAGGGTTTAGGCATATATGAGTTCAACGCACCGCCTTATGTTTGCACATGGAGGTTCAAACATAAACAACATAAGACAATAAGTTGTTGTAAGAGAAGAAACATGTGTCCGGGGAGAGGCTACAGGTGGTCTCACAGTACAAATACCCGGGGGTCTTAATTGATTCAAGACTCAATTTTAAGGCTCAGGTGAAAAAGGTTTGCAACAGGTTCAAATTCAGTCACATGTGAGGTTTACCAGGCTCTGATGTGCATGCACTCTACGGTTCTATCTCACATCACATACTGCCTGCTCACATGCCGGTACAACCACTCTTAAACCCCTGGAATCATTATACAAACAAACACTTAAAATAGTAGATAAGAAATCAGTTCCTTCTCATCATTGCCCAATACTCACAAAGTACAACTTGTTGAGCTGAGAAAATGTAATGAGATATGCAAATGCTTGCCTCATGTACAAAATAATACACGGCCTTACCTCACCTCCGCTCAGACATGTTATCACCAGACGCACACCTGTCGGTCAACAAGAGCTGCAACCAGAGGAGACTGCGTTGATCCATTAAGGAAGAGTTCATTCAGCCAATCTTCATTTTCTTTTAAAGCTGCACAACAGTGGAACTCAGTCCCAGTAACGATTAGAGAACAAAACACCTGCAGTTTATTCAAATCTAATTTAAAAACATGGTTAGTGGAAAATCAGCTCTGTCAACACTGACACAATCTGCACTTTACAACGTTTGTACACATGTGCCTTCACCTGTTGCTATCTGTCTGCTTTGGGAATATAAGCATCTATGTTGAATGTTGTTTTACTGATTGTATTTACCTGTCATTTGAAGTGACATTTTTTTCAACATCTGTCCAGGGACTGCAGATGAAAAATAGCTTGTTGGCTAACTCTGGCGCATTTACAGAAATGTTAATCAATGTGCACTGTCCCTGTCAAATACATTTAAAAAAAAATAAAAAAAATGTATGATAATCAGATATGACAAAATCTGTACATTAACTTGCATTGGTTTAGTTTTAAAGAGGCCATGTGATGCCTTGGGGGTTTCCCCTCTCCTGTAGTGTGTACTATAGGTTTTAGTGCATGTAAATGGTCTGCAGACGTTAACATTTAAAAAGAGTTCATTCCAGACACCGCCCACTTGTCTTCTTCTCTTTCCTGTTAATCTTGTGACGACCCCTCAGATGAATCCGGTGACCCTTTGGAGGGGAACAACCCCTATGTTGGGAACTACTGCACACATTTGATTTGTATTATCTATCTAAATGTGTCATATAAACTCAGATGTTTCTGCACATTTGGTTAGCATCTGTGCAGGAACCCCCGACTTCTCCTATAAGCCACTGTGTTTTATTTTAAATTCTGCACATGATGCATCTGACATTTTCCTTTAAAATCTCATTGCTTTAAGTCCAGATGTAAAGAAGTGTCTTCTTCTCTTTCCTGTTAATCATGTGACGACCCCTCAGACTAATCCGGTGACTCTTTGGAGGGGAACAACCCCTATGTTGGGAACTATAATGCACTAAACTAGTTTAAATTCCCTTAGTATTATCTATCTTAAAATGTCACAAACCAGATGTCAGTGACAGGAGACATTGAAGTGAACTTAAACTTAAATCCATTTGCAGATTTGATGAACGTCTGTGCAGGGAAACAGACTTCTTCCATAAGCCTTTCTGTTTTATTCTGCACATGATGCACCTGATTGCTTCTGCCGTCCTCTTCTCTCTTGTCTGTAAATTGCTGCAGGTTTGCACAGAGCGCTGCCGTGTGAATCGTGAATTATAAAGCACTTATGATAAAATGCTGTAAATGCGGCCGTTTAAAAAGGACCTCGCTTCCTTATTCAACGCCAGGTTCCTAATGGAAAACCCACATTGTGGCGACACTTTGCTCCATTATCGCTATCTGTAGGAGGCTCGTCGTGATGACGTGATGTGTCCGTTAGATTTAATCGACCTTTTGTGATATGATCCGTTTCATAAGACACAAACACCTGGTCTCTAAAATAACGACAATATGCTTTTATTGCCATATTCTTCTTCATCTTCATCATCGTTGATCATGTGTAAAGTTACAATATGAAGGTTTGTTATTAATGCTTTTCCTGACACAAATATGGAAGAGTGGCAACTTTAAATGTATTGTAACGTTGATATTTTATTTATATTTTGCAATAGTTCATGTTTTCATCTCAACACACACGGCTTAATCTTTTCCTCAATGCAAAAGTCAGATATTATTTTTAAAAAGATAGATGATAGATATTCAAATATCATGTTTTTATCTGACTAAATATTCAGCTTTTTCTGCCATAACCATTCAAAAATGGCAATATCAAAAACTTTCTTTAACTTAATACCAGTGGTGGGAAGTAACGAAGTACATTTAGTCAAGTACTGTACAATTTAGAGGTACTTGTACTTTACTTGAGTATTTCGATGTTATGCTACTGTGTACTTCTACTTCACTACAGTTCAGAGGTAAATGGTGTACTTTTACTCCACTACATGTATTTAATCCCTTTAGTTACTTCACAGATTGTGATTAGTTTCATAAGACACAACTTTGTAACACCCATGGTGTTCACACACACACACACACACACACACACACACACACACACACACACACACACACACACACACACACACACACACACACAACAATTTGACACATTACCCGCTCTTATGTGCCCATCCCCCCACATGGATCACACCTGGCACACGCAATACATGTTCAGTGTCTATTCTTTGTATATTTACTGCAGTTGTTCTTGTATACCAGTAGTCTGATACAATATTCACAGTTTGAAAGGGTGTTAAATGAAATGTGGTGATGATTAATGTTTTTTGTGTTAATGTAATAGCAGTTAAAACAGGACCAGTCAAATTTGACCACGAACACCAAAGTAAGGGGGGGGGGGAAACGAAGACAATAGGAGGGTTACAGCGAAATTGCTTTTGACACCTTCTTTCACTGACAGAAAATGTTTATTTATGAGATCCAGAACTATACGATATAAACTGACCTCTTACGTAAAAACCAGACAAAATAAAAGTTTGCTTTGTAAAATCCTAGCAGCTAAATTGGCGCCAGGTGGAGGTCCGAATGGTAGAAAGGGATTTCAAAGGTCTGTAGAATATTGACATTATGTTTGTTTTCTCCATGCATTTATATTTGTATGCATCATTATCATCATGTATCATGTACATGCCATCATGCTCATGCTTTTTCTGCCATAACCATTAAAGCATGGGTTGCAATATCAAAAACGTCACTTTCTTTAAAGTGGACCTATCATGCTATCTTTAGGCGATAGCATAGGTCTCAGATATATAGAAATATATAAAAACATGTCTATACAGTGTTTTGCTGCAAAAACCAAACAGATCACCCATTCTAGCCATGCCTCATATCCCTCTATTTCACTTCCTGTTTCAAAAGTGCTGATTCTGGGTATAAAACTTTAAAAAAATTAAAATTGATAAAAAATAAAAAAGTAGGGGTCTGAGCTCATGCGGGACCCAGCAGCTACCGTCTAAACTAAATACTGCCGTGATGAAACGCCATATCATGGATTATCAAGGATTGTCTCTGAAACAGTATGGAGCTCAAAGGCTTTCTCTCTTGCCGGTTATACCACAAGGTGAGTTCCTTTTTATTTCCTGCTTCTTCACACACATGCTCTCCAGTACAGGTTAGCTCTGAGTGTTAGCGATGCTAATGTGAACACCGACCATATTACGTCCAAAACAGTCGGGCATTGTTTCTGATAGCAACTTTTCTGATAGTGCCGTGGGTCCACATTTCAGATATTACGTCATATCGGACGCAAATCAGTTTTTAGAGATTTGGGTACGGAGGAAAAGAGAGAGGGTTTTATTTTCTGACACACCGGGGACACATATTTATGTATAAAAGACATAAAAAAGTGCATTTTGCATGATAGGTCCCCTTTAACTTAATTGCAGAGGTGTAAAGTAACTAAGTACATTTACTCAAGTACTGTACTTAAGTAACATGTTGAGGTAAATGGTGTACTTTTCCTCCACTACATGTATTAATACCTTTAGTTACTTCACAGATGTGGATGAATGATGTGAAATATAATCAAGTGTTAAATCAGACTTTAGTTCCACCTGGAGTAAATCCACAAGCTACCCTGCAGTATACAAAGTCATTCAAACTAGCTGCACCTTTACCAGCTTTGAGAACACTTTCATGATCAATCATTATAAAACATATCATATATATTATTCTGAAATGGACCAATCTGCACAATGACTACTTTTACTGTCGCTACTTTCACTATATTTTGATGAGAATACTTTTCTACTTTTACTTGAGGAACATTTTGAATGCAGGACTTTTACTGTAACAGAGTATTCCTACACTCTGGTACTTCTACTTTTACTCAAGTACAAGATCTGAGTACTTCTACTTTTACTCAATTACAAGATCTGAGTACTTCTCCTTTTACTCAAGTACAAGATCTGAGTACTTCTACTTTTACTCAAGTACAAGATCTGAGTACTTCTACTTTTACTCAAGTACAAGATCTGAGTACTTCTACTTTTACTCAAGTACAAGATCTGAGTACTTCTACTTTTACTCAAGTACAAGATCTGAGTACTTCTACTTTTACT